CACGCTACTGTCTTCAAAAGCCCCTAAAATATTTTTTAATAACCCACGTTTCTCTCTTCAAAGGATCCTTAAAAAAATATTCTTCAAAATCCACGTTTCTCTCTTCAAAAGACCATTAAAAAATATTATTCAAAGAATCCACGTTTCTGTCTTCAAGGACCCTTAAAAATATATTTTTTTTTAAATTCACATTTCTGCCTTCAAAGGATCCTTAAACATTTTTTTAAAATCCCGTATCTGTCTTCAGAGGACCCTTAAAAAATATTTTTTAAAAATCCACGTTTCTGTTATTAAAAGACCCTAAAAACAATATTTTTAAAAAATCCGCGTTCCTCTTAATCCACGTTTGTGTCTTCAAAGGACCCTTAAAAAAAATATTTTTTAAAAATCCACGTTTTTGTCTTCAAAAGGTTTTTAAAAAATATTTTTTTTAAATCCACATTTCTGTCTTCGAAAGATCTTAAGAAGGCCCTTAAAAACTATTTTTTAAAAATCCTCGTTGCTGTCTTCAAAATCCCCTTAAAAATAGTTTTTAAAAATACACGTTTCTGTCTTCAAAAGATTCTTAAAAAATATTCTTCAAAATCCACACTTAGGGCATTAATAGTTCCTCAAAAAATATTCTTTAAAATCCACGTTTAGAGCATTAATAGTTCCTCAAAAGAAAAAAATCAAAAATATTCTTTTAAAATCTACGATTAGGGCAATGATAGGTCCTCAAAAAAATCCACGATTCTTTCTTTGAAAGACCCTCAAAAAATATTTTTTTAAAAACCCAAGTTGTTGTCTTTAAAATACTCTCAAAAAATCTTTACAAAATTTACGTTTCTGTCTTTAAAAGACCCTTAAAAATATATTTCTTTTAAAAATCCACATTTCTGCACTCAAAAGATACATAAAAAATATTTTTTTTAAAACCCAGCCTCTGTCTTCAGAATGCCCTTAAAAAAATTTTTAAAAATCCACGTAATTTTTTTTTTTTGAATGACCCCCAACCAATATTTTTTACACGTTTAGGGCATTGATAGTTCCTCAAAAAATTCTTTAGAAATCCACGTTTAGGTCCCTCAAGAAAATAAAATAAAGAATCCACGTGCCTGCCTTAATATTCGATCCAAAAATATTTTTGAAAAATCCACGTTTATTTTATTTTATTTTTTCTGTCTTCTAAAAACCCATGAAAATATTTTCTTTTAAAAATCTGTTTCTTTTTCTGTCTTTAAAAAATATTTTTTTAAAAATCTGTTTCTGTCTTTAAAAGTCCCTCGAAAAATAGAAATAATATTTATTTTTTTAAATCCACGTTTCTGTCTTTAAAATTCCCTCAAAAATATTCTTTACAAAGTCCACGTTTATGGCATTGATAGTCCCTCAAATAAATTCTTTAAAAATTCAAATTTGGAGCATTGACAGTCCCTCAAAAAAATTCTTTAAAAAAATCCAAGTTGTTGTCGTTCAAAAATATTCTTTAAAAAGTCCACGTTTCTTTCTTTGAATATGCAAGCCCCAGGGCGGGAACCTTAATTCACTACAAATTCAAACTCACCATCTCATGTGAAGCACTGTTTTCTCTGCTGGGAGCAACTGTGAATATGAAACTATTTCTCTTTCTCTCTCTCCCATCATCTCCATGCACATTTTTCTTTCGGTGTAGAGTACCAATATTAGGTTCGTTTCTTAAGTCTTTTGTTTTGCCGTTTGACTGCGGCAAAAGAAAACTCTGAAGCTTAAACAATCATGCTCACAGTTGTAGGCATAACACACATTCTCACACACACTCACTCTCATGTGGGTATGAATGACAATTGTCAAATATACACACAGACGCACAACGAAAACAACAACATCATTGCAAACATTGCTTTCATGGCAGTTGGTGCAGACGAACGACGACAAAAAAGCTTTGCATTTTGTTGTACATTGTCACACATATGACAACTAGAAACCAGTAGCAGACAACAACATCAGTAACAACAACAATAACAGCTAGGCCACTTGATGGACAGACAAACAGACACACAGAGTGGCAGGCTAGTAGCTTTGAAATATCAGCAGCTAATTGCCAATGCAACTCACATCAAAGAGTTTTCATATCAAAACTTTTCTGGTTTATTTCTTTGTTGTTGTTATTGTTGTTGTTGCTGTTTTTTTTTTTTTTTGTAAAGTTAAGCTCTTTCTCAGAGCATAGACCATGTTGTGCTGTCTCCTATTGCTGGCCTCTTAAGATTATGACACTCTACTCTTCTCACCAATACCAACAACGTAACATGAAACCACAAAAAAATGAAAAATAAATGAAAGAAAAAAAAATCAAAATTGTGCATGATTTGGAAAATGCTGATGTTTCTATTTGTTGTTGTTGTCGTTGCTGCTGTTATTGTTGGTGATTAGTTAGCTTACTTGATATGTTTTTGGTTTCAATCATCAAAACGAAAAAGCTTTCATTATTTCTGCTGGTCTTATGCAGCGACTGGCTGTGGGACAGCTGAAATCTATGGCACAGTGGGTTGGGATGAAACAAAAATGGTGGAAAAAATGGGTGTCCTTTAATAAAATTAAGATAAAATGGAAGTATTTTCTAGAGAAGACCTCTTGGTCTTCTAGAGACGACCTCTTGGTCTTCTAGAGACGACCTCTTGGCCTTCTAGAGAAGATCTACAGCTCTTCTGGAGAAGATCTACAGCTCTTCTAGAGAAGACCTTCAGCTCTTCTAGAGAAGACCTACAGCTCTTCGAGAGAAGACCTACAGCTCTCCGAGAGAAGACCTACAGCTCTTCGAGAGAAGACCTACAGCTCTTCGAGAGAAGACCTACAGCTCTTCGAGAGAAGACCTACAGCTCTTCGAGAGAAGACCTACAGCTCTTCGAGAGAAGACCTACAGCTCTTCGAGAGAAGACCTACAGCTCTTCGAGAGAAGACCTACAGCTCTTCGAGAGAAGACCTACAGCTCTTCGAGAGAAGACCTACAGCTCTTCGAGAGAAGACCTACAGCTCTTCGAGAGAAGACCTACAGCTCTTCGAGAGAAGACCTACAGCTCTTCGAGAGAAGACCTACAGCTCTTCGAGAGAAGACCTACAGCTCTTCTAGAGAAGACCTACAGCTCTTCTAGAGAAGACCTACAGCTCTTCTAGAGAAGACCTACAGCTCTTCTAGAGAAGACCTATAGCTCTTCTAGAGAAGACCTACTAGCTCTTCTAGAGAAGACCTATAGCTCTTCTAGAGAAGACCTATAGCTCTTCTAGAGAAGACCTATAGCTCTTCTAGAGAAGACCTATAGCTCTTCTAGAGAAGACCTATAGCTCTTCTAGAGAAGACCTATAGCTCTTCTAGAGAAGACCTATAGCTCTTCTAGAGAAGACCTATAGCTCTTCTAGAGAAGACCTATAGCTCTTCTAGAGAAGACCTATAGCTCTTCTAGAGAAGACCTATAGCTCTTCTAGAGAAGACCTATAGCTCTTCTAGAGAAGACCTATAGCTCTTCTAGAGAAGACCTATAGCTCTTCTAGAGAAGACCTATAGCTCTTCTAGAGAGACCTATAGCTCTTCTAGAGAAGACCTATAGCTCTTCTAGAGAAGACCTATAGCTCTTCTAGAGAAGACCTATAGCTCTTCTAGAGAAGACCTATAGCTCTTCTAGAGAAGACCTATAGCTCTTCTAGAGAAGACCTATAGCTCTTCTAGAGAAGACCTATAGCTCTTCTAGAGAAGACCTATAGCTCTTCTAGAGAAGACCTATAGCTCTTCTAGAGAAGACCTATAGCTCTTCTAGAGAAGACCTATAGCTCTTCTAGAGAAGACCTATAGCTCTTCTAGAGAAGACCTATAGCTCTTCTAGAGAAGACCTATAGCTCTTCTAGAGAAGACCTATAGCTCTTCTAGAGAAGACCTATAGCTCTTCTAGAGAAGACCTATAGCTCTTCTAGAGAAGACCTATAGCTCTTCTAGAGAAGACCTATAGCTCTTCTAGAGAAGACCTATAGCTCTTCTCTAGAAGACGTACAGCTCTTCTAGAGAAGACCTATAGCTCTTCTCTAGAAGACGTACAGCTCTTATAGAGAAGACCTATAGCTCTTCTAGAGAAGACCTATAGCTCTTCTAGAGAAGACCTATAGCTCTTCTAGAAAAGACCTATAGCTCTTCTAGGGAAGATCTATGGCTCTTCTAGAGAAGACCTCTTGGTCTTCTAGAGAAGACCTCTTGGTCTTCTAGAGAAGACCTCTTGGTTTTCTAGAGAAGACCTCTTGGTCTTCTAGAGAAGACCTATAGCTCTTCTAGAGAAGACCTATAGTTCTTCTAGAGAAGACCTATAGTTCTTCTAGAGAAGACCTATAGCTCTTCTAGAGAAGACCTATAGCTCTTCTAGAGAAGACCTATAGCTCTTCTGGAGAAGACCTATAGCTCTTCTGGAGAAGACCTATAGCTCTTCTGGAGAAGACCTTTGGCTCTTCTAGAGAAGACCTTTGGCTCTTCTAGAGAAGACCTTTGGCTCTTCTAGAGAAGACCTTTGGCTCTTCTAGAGAAGACCTTTGGCTCTTCTAGAGAAGACCTTTGGCTCTTCTAGAGAAGACCTTTGGCTCTTCTAGAGAAGACCTTTGGCTCTTCTAGAGAAGACCTTTGGCTCTTCTAGAGAAGACCTCTTGGTCTTCTAGAGAAGACCTCTTGGTCTTCTAGAGAAGACCTCTTGGTCTTCTAGAGAAGATGTCTGGGTCTTCTAGAGAAGACCTCTTGGTCTTCTAGGGAACACCTCTTGGTCTTCTAGAGAAGACCTCTTGGTTTTCTATTTTTTTCAAAAATATCCATTTGTTCCCAACATCCCATTGTGCACTGAAAGCCCGCAGAAAGACCATTTGTTGCTCATTTACGCTCACATTTTGGGGCCCAGTTGATTTCAGCTGCTTTCAATGTTGCTGTTGTTGTTGCTGCTATTGCCATTACCATTGCCTCGATGGTCTTAATTTTTTCTGTTTCTGTTCGCTGTTGATGTTGTTGTTGGGTGTTTGGCTTTTCGTCGAGTGCTGCGACTGCGTGTGTGGTTACCGTTTTAGTTTTGAGTTCGCTGTTGGCTTAGTTTTCAAAGCGCAATGTTTCAGTTTCAGTTACCAATTTGAAAGAGTAAGATCGTGGCAACGGTTTAATGGCTAAACAATAAAAAACCAAAAAAAATATAATTTTGGCCCAAAAAGAAAAAGAAATATAAGAAGAAAAAATAATATTCAAGACAAAATAATTTTGAAGAAGAAACAAACACCGAAGATTAAAAACCTGAAAAAAAAAAATTAAAAATTCAAGAAAATAGAAATTTGAAGAAAAAAATATGGAATTGAAATCAAATCAAATAAAGAAATAAGCAGCAATGGAAAAATACTGAATAAATAAAAAAATATTCGAAAATTTTTGTTGAAGAAAAAATGAATTTTGTTTTATAAACAAATCAATAAGGATCAAGTGTTGTATTTTAAAAATATAAATTATTTAAGTGATTTTTAATTTTTTTTAAAAGTGTTTTAAATTTTTTATTTATTTTTTTATATTTTATTTTTTTTTTGTTTTAGTTTGTTTTATAATTGTGCAAATTGGATAAATTAATCTACGTTTTAATCTAAAAAAAAAAACTTTAACTTATTTTCAAACCTACGCCAACTAAACGGAAAATAATTTTGAACCAGCATTCAATTGGAGAACAAAGGATATCAGAAGAAAAAAACATTTTGGAAAATAAAAAGTGTTTCGTTTTTTTTATTTAAAAAACGAAGCTAAAATTAATTGAATTTTAGTTACACGACAAAGGAAACTTATTTTAACAAAATGGTGAGTGACAGAAAATATTAAAAAAAATAAATAAATATAAAATACTCTAAAATAAAAAAAAAACTTAGTAAAACATAATAATTATAATTTTAAATGAAAAAAATAATAATTTTAAATAAAAAAAATAATAGTTTTAAATAAAAAATAATATTTTTAAATAAAAAAATAATAATTGTAAATAAAAAAATAATAATAATAAATAAAAAATAATAGTTTTAAATAAAAAATAATATTTTTAAATAAAAAAATAATAATTGTAAATAAAAAAATAATAATTTTAAATAAAAAAAATAATTTTAAATAAAAAAATTAAGTTGGAATAAATATATAAAATATAATAAAAAAAACCTCCAAATTAATTACAAAACAAAAAAAATAAAGACTTATTTTTCCTATTTCTTTAAGAAATGTTTAGGTCGAAGTGCACATAAAACCTTGCCGATTTTCACATAAAAATAGAAAAATGTTGTAGTTGTTTAGATTGCAATACAAAAATTATTATTCCCAGCTTAATAACGAAAAATCTCATTTATATAAAAGTTTGATTTTTTAAATTTTCCATCTAGACCTTTTGGCCAGAGTTTGGCAATTTTCAAAAAAAAAAAAATAAATAAATAAAATAAAAATTCTGTTAATATCTTAAAAATGTCGAAAGTAGCCATTATATTAGGGATATTGAAGAGCGAAACTTGAAAAAAATCGGTGAATTATGTAGCTAAAATCACTAAAATCACCGAATATCGGGAGGTACCATTATATGAGGGCTATACGATGACGGGACCTGCACAGATGATCTCCTGTCATAAGCTGTAGCATCCATTACGAACATCAAATCCCAAATTTGAAACAATTCTGGTAATTAATGTCGCTAAAATCATCAAAATACCGAATATCGGGAGGTAACCGAATATTGGGATATACGAAGACGTGGACCTGCACAGACAATTTTCTGCCATAAGCTGTAGTATCTATTTCGAACTTCAAATACAAAATTTGAAACAATTCCGGTGAATGATGACATTAAAATCATCTAAATACCAGAAATCGGGAGGTAGCGTTATATGGGAGCTATACGAAGACATGGACCTGCACAGACAATTTTCTGTCATAGGCTGTAGTATCCATTACGAACTTCAAATACCAATTTTGAAATCATCAAAATACCGAATATCGTGAGGTACCGTTATATGGGGGCTATACAAAGACGTGAGCCTGCACACACAATTATCTGTCATAGGCTGTAGTTCCCATTACGAACTTCAAATACCAAATGTGAAACAATTACTGTAAATAATGTCGGTAAAACATCAAAATACCGAAGATAGGGAGTTACCATTATATGGAGACCATACCAAAAAGTGGACCTACATGGCCCATTTTCAATACCGAAAGTCCTGCAGACATAATATACATTTGAGTAAAATTTTATCAACCTACTTCATTTCGTTCGGAAGCTAGAGTGATTTCCACAGACGGACGGGCATCGTTAAATCGACATAGAATTTTATGCTGATCAAGAATATATATACTTTGTGGGATCTAAAATGTGTATTTCGAGGTGGTTCAAAAGGAATCACAAAGTTAATATACCCTCCATACATATTATGGTGGAGGGTATAAAAGAAAAATCTCATTTTCATAAAAGTTTTTTTTTTTTTTTAATTTCAGAATTTGTAGTTCTCAAAAGTCAAATTTTCTATTGGTCCAAATTCTAATACAAAAATTTATTAAAAATACTAATAGTTAGAAGAAAATAGTACTTGAAATATTGGGAACAAAAAATAGTTCTTATGTTGGGCGCCATTTTATAAATTATTTTAAATTTAATAATTTTTGATAGCATGACAGCAATAGATATGAAACATTTGCTAGTTTGGACTGTCATGCGACCTGAAAAATCTAGATCAGTATGGGAATAAAAAGACATACTTCTCATTTCAAAGCCCTGCCTTATTTTATTTTCATAAAAAAAATACAACCGAATACAACCGCTTGTAAATTTGCAGTCAACCTAACGCCGGATATAAATTAACAAAGAAAATATAAAGAATAAAAATTAAAATTAAAGTTTATCTCAGATGAAATCTGTATTGGCCCTTTTTGGTGCAAAAGTGACGTCCAATGTGAGGCAATACAGGCTAAAAAGTTGGTGACTACGCAAAGGCTCCAAATGACTTGTTTTTTTTATAGAATTTTTTTTTAAATTTTCTCCTTCAGTGACATTTTCAACTGAAGTTGACAAAAGTGGCGCCCAATGTGAGACAAAGGTTAATCTTATTTTTGATGGAAAAAAATCTTGAGAAATACTTGACTCGAAATTCATCGTTTGAAATATTTTTGGTGGCGCCCTCCTTTTAAAGAGATACTATTAACTGAAATAAGCAAAAGTGGCGCCCAATGCGAGACAAAGTTTAACCTAGTTTATGATGAAGAAAAGGTTGAGAACTACTTGACTCGAAATTCATCGTTTTGAAATATTGTTGGTGGCGCTCTCCTTCTAAAGAGAAACTATAAGCTGAAATGAGCAAAAGTGGCGCCCAATGTAAGACAATATAGGCTAAAAAGTTGGTGAATATTCTTCTCCAGTGACGTCCCACTTTGAAAGCGACACTATCAGCTGAAATTACCAAAAGTGGCGCCCAATGTGCGATAACATAGGTTAAAAAGGTTGTGATGAAGAAAAGCTTGAGAAATACATGACTCGAAATACATCGTTTGAAATATTTTTGGTTGCGCCCTCCTTCTAAAGAGTAATTTTTAGCTAAAATAAGCAAAAGTGCCGCCCAATGTGAGACAATGCCGATTAAAAAAATTGGTGATTGCAGAAAGGCTCCAAATTCATTATTTTTATTGGGAATTTTATTTCAAAAAAATCAGTGCCGTCCTACTTTGAAAGCGACAGTTGAGGCAATGCCGGTTAACAAGTTGTTTAATTATGAAATAATTGGATCAAAACTCATATTTTTTTGTTAGGAATTTTATTTTGTAATTTCTTCAGTGGCGCCCAACATAAAAATGAAATGAAACCGAATTCTTAGAAATGTTTTGAATTCATATTTTTGTATAATGATTTAAAAGTTGATACGAAAGAAACAAAACCATGCCTTGTATGAAAAGTTTACCAGGTATGGGTGTTTCGAATCGTCAGAAAAAAAATTTAGTTTCTTTTTTCAATGAAAGAAACGCATCTGCCGTAAGAAGCATGATATACGCAACAAATCAAATTAGTAAATCCGACATTAAACCAGCTGGAATTTGAATACAGACCACATGGAAATATTTCGTACATTTCTTTCTACAAATTCAATTCTTTCGCACTTACAGATTGAGTGGCGCCCAACGTGAAACAGGAAATACATCAATGTCCCGGACACATTTTTATTTACCTTACCTTCAAAACAGTATAAATTCAGCTGTGATTTTGAATACAGACTTCATGAAATATGAAGTATTTTTTTTCTTCTTCAAATTCGATTCACCCGAATCTACAGGTTAAGAGGCGCCCAACGCGGCACAAAAAATAATACCTAATAACATATTTAAATTCCCGTCAATCGATATTCTAATATGGAAAATTCGAATATGTTTTTGCATTAAAATTCAATGGTCTAGAATCTGCCGGTTAAGTGGCGCCCAACGTGACAAAAACTAAAAATCTTCGAAATTTAGAACTGTTTTTGAAATTAGGCTTAAAAATTCTCAAAATTTGCTGACCATGGTATATGAAAGCTATAGCAACTCCTCAGACTCGTTTGATTAAGGAAAGTAGACAATTTTCGTTCTTATGATCCGAACCTGATACATATCTTCTAAGGCCTGGGCAGAGAGTCGCAATATTATTTCCTCCCAATTTTATTACTCCCTCGTAACATTGTTTTTCAATGGTTCTGATCTTTTTCATTTGTATGTGTGTGTGTGTGGAGAGAGAATTACGCTCGCGTTCCTGTATTTATCTGGTATATATTATTCGATACATTCGAAATTTCCCTCACCGAAATAAGGGCTTTTGAGACTATGCCTCCTTGGACGAAATTAGTTTTTTGTCATTTGGAGTCGATTAATTTCAGTCGGTTCCAGTTTGTTTCTCAAAAAGGGTAATAATTTTAGTATAGTTTGTCTGTTTTCTACGAATATATGTGGCAACATTTAAGAGCATTTAATATTAGAGACTTCTTAAACAATGTAAGAGATCTCGAACAATAAAAAATACAATAAAAAAATAAAAAAAAGGCAAGGGAAAGATATAAAAGAAGGAGTAGTGGATCTTCTTATTCACACAAGATCTTTTTGTTACCCATACCCCTTTGCAGGTCTCCTCCTTCTGTTTCTATAAGAATCTTTCTTTAAGATATCTCGTAGATTATACCAGTTTGATTTAAAAAAAAAATATTCTTCAACATTTTATTACTGGCAATTATGAATTATTAATCAAATTTTTGTTTTACAATTAATTAGTTCGACAATTGAAGGTATTTGATTTGCAAATGAAATCGCTTCAAGAATAAGAATGAAGAATATGTTATTGGTCTGCAATTAGATTTTGAAATTAATTAAAAGTCTGCAAATTGTTAAAAAAAAATTGATGTGAAAATTAAAAAGAGGGAGACCATTAATCCATGCCAAGTCAGATCAAAGAACATTTTCGGTATTGTTCTTTTAAGTTGCAGAAGAAGTGATAATTGAAGGTTTTTATACCCTCATCCATATGGCTACAGAGGGTATATATCATTTGATACGGTCAAAACGTGACTCATTGAAATAACGATTTTAGACCCTAGGTCTCTTTGGACCAAATCCGGTCCAGGTCATTTGGAGTCGATCTAGCGATGTTCGTCCGTCCGTCTGGCTGGCTGGCTGGTGCGCACGATAAATCTCGAAGGGAGTATCCGATTTGGTCCAAACTTGGCACATCGTATTATTATTATTAAACTTATATTGAGTTCGGATATGGGCTATAAGCACGAACTTTTCATAGAAAATATCTTACTGTACAGAAAGAG